AAGATAACGCAATCGCCGATTAAATGAATAAATGTCGTGAAAAATTACACCAATTGCCAGTCGATTTAACAGAATTTTGTGTTTTAACATAACATTGACCTACTTCTTATTATTATTATTCTTCTTCTTCTTATTCTCCTTCTTCTTCTTATTCTTCTTCTCAATTGATAGCCTAACATTTAAATGTATTTGGCCAGGTTCACACTTTAAACCTAGACCTTTTTGTTCCAATATGCTTCTATTCTACCAAAATAAAAAAAATAGAATAAAATTACTGTCCAACCACTTGGTTTATACATGCTGTCGTGGTCAAATAATGACTAAGATTGACGCAGTAAGAAGTAATTAAATCAGAATAAGCTCGTAGCAGGATCGTATAGAGTTTATTCTCCCAATTTTCATTTCAGTTGGACGCCGTCTTTGGTCATAGCATAGCGGTCGATTGACTGTTTCAAACGTTTTTTTATATATGATATTTACCAAGCACCCCTCTGCCAGTTGCAACCAGATAGGGTACTTGATTACATGCAGTTTTTATTAAAATTAAAATAAATCAAATAAAAACTAACCTCCTTTCTTTCTTTATGTTTTAAACACAGCCAATCTAACGCTGAAACCTTGTCCGAATTCTAAACTTTGTCATATTAAAATAAAGTTGAATCAAATTCTACTAGCATGTGAATGAACCAGACCCCACTGGTGACTGATGAGTAATATTAAGACCTAAACTGCAATTTGCCGATAATAACATATTACTTTGTCTATAATGTTGCAACGTTGCAACATCCATGGAAACCTTTCCGCATATCTATATTGCAAATAAGGGGATAAATATATAAAGCATTTATAAAGGAAAAAAAATTGCGACGCGCATGGACTGTAATGCAATTATTATGCCACACCTTCAATGGTATTTCGTTTATGTGGCACAACCTTACAGTGTGTACCGTCTCTGAATCAAAGGTCATATTTGGTGACGGTGTAGCTAAAGAACTAATTCAGTACTGTAATGGGAAAAATCCACCTGCATCATTATCAGATCGACTTATATTTCTTTCAAGGATAACCTCCTAATAAATAAATTCCTCCCAAAGAGAATAACAGTAAATAGTATAATCCGTATCTACGATATTTGTGAGATGGAATTTCAAGAAATGAAGCCAATAAAGTTCTGTTATCGGAACCACTGTAACGATTTACCGCAGCAGGAGCGTGCCTTGAAATTTTCCGCCAATGTCTTCTATCTCGAGTGTCGAATGCGGTTAATTGCAAGAAAGTGACGCAGGAGTCTTCTTGCAATTCTATTTCAACAAATATCGTACAATCGTTCAATTTTCAATTCAATTCAAAATAGCGACTTTACACGCCCATAGAAATTCGTGAATTGATGATACAGGGACAGGGCTGGTTCTTCAAGTACAAAAATACAGAGCCTTCAGAAAAAATATTTAGAAGCCACGTGACTACTGAGCTTATTGAGAATGATAAGAAAGAAAAACTAAAAATTATAATTCTGTTCGTAGAAGTTCTTCATAAATTTATTGCCATCTATAAAACTGACGATAATTTTATGTACTACACAACACGTATCAATTTCAAGGATAAAGATTTTTGTCAATTTCTTGGACTATGTAAAACTGCTATAGAAAATTAATGGTAATTATTTAGAATAGCCACATTTAAAAAAAATAAGTAAACAAACGTATTATACACAAGATTTTTATTAAAACACTAAAGGCAAGTCTTAAAAATATATAATTAAAAAGTGGTAATAAAAATAGTTAGACTTTATGTTTAGTTTCAGAATGAATATACTAGTAACTATAAAAATGAAGTTGGTAAGACGAAGATCCGAGATTTCTTTTAAAAAAATATTTTTTTATATACAGTGTGTCCAAGATAAGGATGGGATAGTATTAGGATCTAGGAAACGGTAAGAGATATGGGCTGGCTCAAATTAGAAAAAAATGGTGTTTTTTATACCTAACAATAAGCCGTTTAGAAAATTTTGAAATTCCGGGCAGTTCCGGAGATATCCGGAAAAGACCGAAATTTTGCAAAATCGTTTTATTTTTTTTTCTGGCTTTATTTGAAAACGAATTTTAAAATAAATTGCATATTTACATTGCCACTTTTTTCGCTCTATCCAATGGCGTCAACATTTTTGCAATTCGGGGTTTCGTTTTCGAGGGGCCATCATCAGATTAGTTTTTTTAAATACGTCGCTTCTACTTTTATGACAAAATCTAAATTTTTATCTCATTTTTTTTTCATATTCATATATTTCTCATTTTTAATACTGAATTAGATTATATTACTATTGTAATCGCTTAAAAAGGTTTTTATTTTAACTATCATTTAAATTTTTTCCTGAGTACGGCTCTGAACGCTTTCAAAATATCTATTGAAGAAAGTATAAAAGTCAATACAGCACAAAATATCCAACAATCAGTAATTTAAAAAAGTTGTAGGTACCTAATAAAAAAATAATACGAATTTATGAAATATTTTATTATTTCTATTAATTAGTTTTGCTAATACATAGTAGTAAATAAAAAGTTTGATATTTTCTGCTGTATTAACGTTTATACTTATACAGTTATGACTTCCTCCAATAGATGTTTTGAAAACGTTCAGAGTCGTACTCAGGAAAAAATTTAAATGATAGCTAAAACACCCTTTTTAAGCGATTACAATAGTAATATCATCTAATTCAGAATTAAAAATGACTAGATTTTGTCATAATAATAGCAGCGACGTATTTAAAAAAATTAACCTAATGACGAAACGTCGGATTGCAAAAATGTTGACGCCGTTAGATAGAGCGTCGTTTTCAAATAAAGCCAGAAGAAATAAAACGATTTTGCAAAATTTCGAGTTTTTTGGGATATCTCCGGAACTATCCGGAATTTTAAAATTTTCTAAACGGCATATTGTTAGGTATAAAAAACACAACTTTTTTCTAATTTGAGCCACCCCGTATCTCTTACCGTTTCTTGGATCCTAATGCTATCCCATCCTTATCTTGGACACACTGTATATATTATATTTTTAGCTATAATTTAAAATGAAATTTAGTAAAATGGGCCAAATTTTGTTAGGTAGAAAAACAATTCAACACCGTCGTTTGAAAATGCTATTTTTTTTAAGTTCGATGTTTCTATATAATTTTCTGTGAATTATTGATTCTTACGAAATGAGGCCACCTGATGAAACAGTCCTAATATGTGGAAACAAAGAGATCTTATCGTAGTATCTGGTTTTTGCGTGATTAGTCTTTGTCAAGAGTGATGATAGACCAGCAAGAATACAGGATATTTCAATATATCTCGTTTTTGTATCAAAAATAATTTTTGGTTTTTATTTTGGATAATTATGTATTAATAGCTGTTTACTCTGTTATCTATGTTCTGATTAAAAATTCAGTACAAAGACGTTAGGGGCAAAATAAGACTTTTTTCCTATAAACGTAAATCCAAAATAAATTTTAAAATTTTTCACCGTAAATAGTTATAAAATTTGAAAATATGGTGTACATTTAACTCTTCATCAGATAATTTCTCGGAAACGGTTGGTCTGAGAGATTTCGACCAAGTATACCTTTTTTGCTTAAAATTGTTAGAGGAATGAACGCAATAAGACGAAACGTCAATATACAGGGTGGTAAAAAAGTTAGGGCCAATTTAATGCAAGCATACCGTTATAGGTGGCGTCCTCTACAAATAGCGTCAAAAGCAGTGACATATTTAAATTTAGCATCCTAAAAAACTTCCGTAACCCAAGTTTTATAGGAACATTCAAATCTATTTGGAAATTATTCCTAAAAATCGAAAAAAATAAAAAACTTTAACACTGTACAGGATGAGTCAGTTTTATGTGGTAGGATTTTAACAGTTAATAGAGATTCATTTTTTAATAAGAAAAGTTCCTATAAACATAGGTCTTAGAACGCTTCGTTTGTGAGAAAGCAAACTTTTTTTTAAGAATTTTTCTTAATATCTCTAATAGACCAACATATATTGAACTGAAATTTGGCATGAAAAACAAACACAGAACTTAAAAAAAGAACTAATTGACACACACGTTATACATCGTTTATGTTGATTTTCAGGGTACATCATATTTTTCTTATTACAAATGTATTACCAATATCGTTGGAACAGTTTCATGCCAAATGAATTTAACCAAAAACCGTTCATTTTATAAAAAATTTAAAGAGATCTGTTTTGTTCAGAATTGATTAAAAAATTTAGAAATGATGTTATTTTCCAGAAAAATTCACGAGCGTACGAATTGTTTTTTTTTTTTAAGGGGGCAGTAACCCACCTCAGGCACGTTACTGTGTGTGAAATGGATAACAGATATCTTTGTTTTATTCACCAGAACTAATGTGTTATTAATACCAAATTTCAGTTCAATATATGTTGGTCTTTTAGAGATATTAAGAAAAATTCTTAAAAAAAGTTTGTCTTCAACACCCTATATCTCACAAACGAAGCGTTCTAAGACCTACGTTTATAGGAACTTTTCTTATTAAAAAATGATTCTCTATCAACTGTTAAAATCCTACTACAAAAAACTGACTCACCCTGTATATCGAAAACTAAGCATTTGTGAACCCACGTTTATAAGGAAAAAAAAGGCTTATTTTGACTTCAAAAATACGCCATTAAATTCTTTGTACTGTATTTTGAATCAGCCGTATAGTGTGTTCAGAAATCGACTTGAAGAGAATGAAATTCTATGAAAAATATCATTCTTACTCAAAAAAATTCTGCTGCTGATGACATTTTGTTAAAGGATTCCGACTCTGTTTGGTTAAAAAGTTATTTTTTATTTCAGAAAAATTGAATAGACCTTAGGAACAAAAAAATAATTTTTCTGTAGATTTTCGTATAAAATAATATTAATCTTGATATGCGCACAAAGTTATTCAAAAACAATTCCAAAACAAAACTTTGTGGAGCTATTACTAACACTTAATATTGTTTTACTTTCAGTTGTCGGGAGTATCACTAACCCCAATGTACGCCCTACCTCCGCCACCAATGGTTCAACCCCAAGTGATCGGCTACCCCCTCATCCCCGCTCCCTTAGGACAAGTGCCGTCCCCGATCATACCGCCGCCGTCCAGGAAAGAAATCGTAAGATCCCTCTACCAATCATATGTTCTCTTCACTAATTTCAAACCTCTCAATTCAGGTCCACCGGGTTCACAAAAGGTACCGCTCTAAGTCCAAGTCCAAGTCCAAGAGTAGGGAGCGAGAGCCAACCCCTAGACGTTCCCGATCTAAGTCCAAGTCGCGGGAACGCCAGGTGACCGAGGAGGACGTGGCGAGGACCTACACGGGCTTGGATAGGACCATCGCCGAAGACTTCATCGACACCTTCGAGACTAAGAACAACAGCCTCTGCAGTAGCGATTTTAGCAGCACCAGCAGCTGTCAGAGCCCCTGCAACGCTGGATGCAACTCCAACAGCGACGCTGCTTCTCACGAGTACTTGGTTAATAAGATGTGAGGGTGCTAGGCTTTTTGCATGTATATATTACGTAATAGTAAGTAGGCTTTAAGAAAGTACAATACAAAAATTACACGGTCCGACAAAATTTTAAACCAGAGCATACTTTTCCGAAGGTTGTTGACGCACTGAATCAATATATCCATATGAGTAACTAAACAAGAGGGTTTTATTATGTCTTCTGACGGTAGCAGAGCACCCCCATCTGTAGCTGGTGCAGCAAACGACACACTCGGAAACCACAGACCGTAAAATAACTAAGGAAACTGCATGGGGAAACACAATTAGGGTAATCTCTAATTCTACTATCTAATAGATGTCGCTGCACCATAATGGCGGTAAATTAAATGTAATAAAATACACTAAGAATAAAAAGTATTTCATAATAGATCACAAAGCAGCTGCTAATGGTTTAAGTTAATAATTCAAATTAAGATGAACCATTAACAGCTGTTCCATGGCCTATTACTTATGAAACACTTTATCACTTGGTTAAATGAAGAAGTTAAAGCAGTGATACTTAAATGTGAGACAAATATACAAATTCATTCCGTTATGAATTTGAAAAAATATATAAAAAAATGTACAGGGGGACTCTTTTAAGAAACGATTAAAAACTGCAAATTTTAAAGAATGTTAAAGAATTATTTACCTGCCTTTATGTAAAATGCACTGCACAGTTACTAGCCAAAAATTATGGTTAGATACATTTGTTTCGAACTAATTGATTCTCATCAATACGATGTAACATATTACACTTATAGCATAGCACTTACAGCAAATAACAATTTTAAATATGTGAATTTTGGTTTTTTAAAAGGTGGAGGTGAAAAATCATCCGAAACTGAACTTTCTGTAATGTTACTTTAACATATTGTTTTGCTGAATGTTGGATACTATCCGAGGATATATTACAATTAATAGGTGAACTTGTAGTTAATCCCAAAAATAATGTCGACACAGCATTTCTGTTGAGACTATTCCTATTAACTGTTTTTTAAACATTTTAACCCAAAATGGTCTTCACAAAAATAATTATCTGTATTTGTCAGAGTAGTCTTATTTACATAATTTTCGAACTGATTATATCCACAGTAATTGTCCGTCTTTTGTAATTCTGAAAAAACTTTTATATAGAACGTATTACAGAGTTACAGACATTCTTATAAGTAGTAGGAAATGCTTTTGCAATTTGGAGCACAACATTGACGTTTAATTCTACCAGGTAAACTCATTATGAATAAAAAAAACTAATAAAAAACAGTAAGGCAGTTCAGACGATCGATTCAATAAATCCCTTATTACATTAATCCAAAACAAAACAAATTTATTAATGCACAAAACGCGACAACCTACCTGAACATAAACTATAACCACAGCATAATTGCTTTATTTGCTGTAACATAACCTCAAACCTTCTATTACTGTTGATTGAAAGAAAGGCTTTTTTCGTGAGTGAAGTCGTATGTATGTACATACTAATGTGTAGTGTGAGTGAATGAAAAGATTTAAACTAGCATATGACAACTAAGATCAAGAGAGATGGAAATAGTAAGTACAAGTCAGATATTCACCAATATTCAGTCGCGAAAAAAAGCCTACAGATTCAATCTGTGGTTGCAGATTTCTGTTTAACAATTACTATAAAGGACAATGTTTTGCTGCACCAACACGAGATGGACTCAGTGAATGCAAGCTCCGTCCGCCCTCCGCCCTATCCAATGAAATCCTCTTATTTATTTACTCATTTTACTATTTAGTTACTCATATGGATATATCTATATGAGTAACTAAATATAAATATACTCATATGGATATATCCTAACCTATAAGTGCGGAAATCGCGGTGTTTATCTAAATTTTAGGTTATGTTACATCACGAGGTAATGTCCCCCCACGGTCCGACGGATTGTGATTTCCCCCCGCGAAACTCTGTTCAAGGCATCTGAAAGACCTCTTCCCCTTTAGAATCGATTTTCAATAATTTTTTTCTCCGATAAATCGTCTGTTGAAACTGATTAGTATGGTGTATTCGTAAATATTCGGAAATTGAGTAGCATCAGATGAAAACTCGGAGAGAGAAGAATCAAATTAGGTATAAACATCTAAATTCCTACTAGTTTTTCCACATGTGATTTCTCAAAAACGAAAAATGATATCGGGACAAATCCAAGTGCGTTTTGTATGTAACCATGTAACCTAACCTCAAATATGTCAGAAAATGGCGATTTTGACACTTTTAGGTTAGGACAGCTAGGAGAAATTTGGACCCCATCAAAATCCTTGGGAAAATTACATTATTGTATCTCTGGGTTAGAGAGAGTCGGTCAAATTTTGTTGGCCCGTGTAATTATACAGAATATACTTACTGAAATATTGTCCGATAAATTGATATAGCGCTTAATAAATAATATATTTTAACTCTCCATTTCTTGGAGGATTTGACTATGAAAACTTCAACATACCGTAAGTAATGCTATGAAAAATGTCAATTAACTGAAAAATGGTGTATTCCAAAAATTCGTAAACCACTAAAAAATTTTCCGTTGATGGAAAATAGAAATGCAACAGAAAATACAGAATATTTTTTCTTTTTTGGAACCGCTGTATGCTTGGGTTGTTTCAAGAAAATAGTTCATCGTTATGCAACACACATTACATGGTTGATTTTCTCATACAGGGTGTCACAGAATAACTATTCCTAATTTTCAGAAATGATAGAGGACACTTAAATAAACGTTTTTTTAATTAATAAACTAGTGTACTAGTTTAGTAATAAAAAATGTTTAAGAGGACTCTATAGTAAATAGGCAACCAGTAATACATTTTCATAGATTTTATTACACAGTATGTCTAAATATAACACAAATTTTCTATAAAATGACTCGCATTACTTTTTGGTGTAAAGAAATTCGTAATTTGCCGCTTTTGAACAAGCGGCATTGTAAATTACAAATTTCTTTAAACCGAAAAGTAATTTGTTTCAAACTAAGTCCATTTTATAGGTATTTAGACAAACTGTGTAACAAAATCTATAATGTATTGCTGGTTGCCTATCTGCTATAGTGCCCTCTATCATTTCTGAAAATTAGTAATAGTTATTCTGTGACACCCTGTATAACTACAGCATGTTTGATTTTGTACATATTTAATTCCAACAGTAAAGTATACTAATATACTCGTACATATATATATAAATACTATAATTATTATTAGTTATATATAAGACTGTATGTTTTGTAATAATGTAACTTTTTAGTGTACATTTTTAGAAGTAAAAAAAAATTTCGAATATTAGAGATGTAAAATTAAGAGTTTCTAGTACCAGTGTATATACATAAAGAGGGATCTAGTCTATAAAATTGGGATGGGATTAACTTTTTTTAACAAGGTTTCTAACGAAGAGAAAAAAGCCATCTTCAGACTTTTTCAGTACACTTTTACTACCAGAGCTTCACTATAATTAATAATACTAAAATGCTTGTACCGACAACGTATAATTAATTTTTTGATATATATAAATATGATTTGTGCATTATAAATATATTTATGTATATTTCAAACTTGTACGATATAATAAAATTCAAGTACCTTATTAATGACAAATAGTACTTTTATGTGATAAAGATTATGTAATATACGATACACTGATTGTAATATAGTTTATAATAAATAGGTATTAAATGTTTAAAAGATATTTTTCTTCCTACATTTGTCCCATTAAAATTTACAAATTAAAAAAAAATAATGTAAAAAAGGTTGTCGGAAATTTTATTAAAAAGATAATCACAAGATAGCATTCAAGAAGGAAGAGATATGATGAGTTTAAACAGCATAGTGTGTTCTGCCAAAGCCTTGTCCTAGAAAGAAAATATTTTTTTATATACGGTGTGCCCCATTAAGGACACTAAAATTTTTTTGGAGCACAATTTCTAATGATTTTTTTATATATGATGGTATGATGGACTTCTAGATGTCGAGTCAATTAAAATTAAATTAAATTAAAAAAACATGTTAATAATGCAGGCAAACAACCATTTTGCTTTCACATCAAAATTGTGACCTCCACATTTTCCGTGAACAACCAACTCAGACGACGACCTTGGGTGGACATCAGCCCATAACTACGTCATTTTCAACACAAATGACTTGAAAAAATTTGAAAATGTAGGTCAAAATATTGGTAAAATAATGTCAAAGTTCGATTAAATTTTAATCACTGTCCCACTCAAAAAAATTCGTGAGAAACGCCAGAAAATCAGCTTCTAAAATTTGTCCAAGCACTTAATTGACAGTCTGTATATGTATATGTATAAAAAAAATCGATATAATTGTGAGTCCCAAAAAACCTTTAGATTGTCCTCATTCTTAACTGGTTACACTGTATATGTACATACAAAAAAAGCATACACAACTTTCAAAGTTGTTAATTTTCAATTTCAACTTACCAATTGCTAGTAAAATATTGTCCGCATCTTCGGCTAGAGCCGCTCCAAAAACAAAGCAGTTAAAATGCGACGCAACGTCACAATTTTCAATACTGAATTAAAAATATTAGTTTACACGTTTACAGATATAAGAATGGCACGTACCTTGCACAGTATCCGAAATTTTTGGCAAATCTAGGCGTGCTTCCGCACGAAGAGATCTGCATGTAAGAATGCTCTAGCAAAATCTGAAAAATTGGTTGTAACGAGATATTACAAGTGTATTTTCAATTTACCTCTTTCGTTTGGATATCTTTCACTTTTATCCCGATCTCCCCAAACTCAAAGGTAACTATCTTGTCCACCCTGGTAACGGGCATACCATCAACGGAAGAAATGGGGGCTTGCAACCCCTTAGTCACACATATTCGAGTCACGGCTTTCTCTACTTGTTTAACGTTTCCAATCGATCCGACATCCACGTATCCCAAATACTTCACGTCATACCCAGAACTGTAAATAAATTTCAAAAATTCACCTATCTTTCCAATCAGAACCGCGAAGTCACAAAAAATCGCCCTATGCAGAGGCGATCACAGCTAGAGCCTAAACCGATGTCCCAAAGGACCAAAAGTCTCATCGTGGCTCGGAAATTGGAAATTTCACCTATCTTTCCAAAAATCCCTCGTCGTTTCCGAAACTGCTCCAAGTTACCATAAACCGCTCCATCCACGGCAGTCAACATCGATAAAGGACGATACCTTCAACAGCAAGACATAGGACGATGCTGTGTGAGAATGAGAAAATTTCACCGACCTTTCCAAAGTTCCCACCGTTGCGTCAAACAGCTCTAAGCAGCCCAAAAACAACGCGCGCGCTGCAACAGCCGATATTGCCAAAGACGCAATGTAAAGGCGAAGAAGCCCTTCCAGGTTCTAAGGTTTGAATCGGGGATTAAAAATTCTCCAAATTCCATGAAATTCAAACCAAACAAAAACCCAACATCTAAAGTTAATACATAAAAGTGAATGCAGATGGGGTGCAGTTTCAAAGATCCAGAAATAGAAAGAGAGGTGAATCCGATTAGTGGAAATGGTGCCTGTGAACGAACGTCAACCCAATCCATTGGCAGTTCAGTAACCAGTGTATGGACACCTGGCCAGAATTTGTACTCGCTCTAAATTTTATGCTTTGTTTATGTCACATGTTGTGTATTGACCATATTTATTGTTACAAACCCAAAATAATGATGATTCAAGTGTGAAGCCTACAGATTAGAATCTTGAAAAAAAAAATTCCTCGTACACTAGGTTCGATCGCACAAAAGTAACTTCAAAGTCGTGTTCAACACCATCGAGAATAGCCACAATTTTATGCATTTTTGAGAGTTTTAGATTACAATAAATAATTATCAAAAATATCCATGGCTGCTCTTTTACTTACCACGCGTTTTTCGGAACAATCTCCTCGGCAGTCTCTTCTTCGTATTGCTTCAACACCTGGGCGCAGTCGATGTTCAATCGTTTCAACAGCGACCTGATCGGCAAGAAAAACTCTTTCGTTTCGTGATTGTACGCTTTAACGACTGATATGTTGATTGGTTCGCCCTTCTTACACCGCAAGGTGGCGTTGAGACGGCCCTTAAGGGAAGGGGTGATGTGAATGCCGTTTAATTTATCCAGAACGTCTCCTATCTTAATATTCCCCTAAAATACATAATTCATTAATTAAATATACGGGGTGAATCTTAAATTTGTACTATATTTTAGCTCTGAGCCCTGTGAGTCATTTTTTAAGATTATAAATGTTTACGGATATATATTTTAAAGGGGCAACATATTGAGAACCGCTGTCCGCCTAAAGTTATAATTCGTCCACGTTTTGCGAGTTTGCCAAATCACGTGTCAAGAAAATTATGTAGTAATCATTTAAATCACGATAGACCCAAATTTTAACTAAACGATAAAAAAAAACCCAAACTATTGAAAAATTGATTTGAGCAAGACAAACACTATCATAAACTTTAAAATCATACTGTTCGAGGCATATTTGTTAAATTACTCAAATAATAAATTTTACAAATAAAAGCCTAACTAATTATTGAAAAATAAGGTGCCTAAACAGTTGTTATAGTACAAAAGTTGAAGTTAAAAGTTGTCGTAATCTTCCGATAGACATGCATACAACTCGAAGATATACATAGCACACTACGAGGAATGTAATTTATAATAGAAAACAGACAGTCAACAAAAACAAAAGCCGAGACTTCACTGGTTTCATAGAAACGACATAACCTCTAACTACAACACATTAAAAATTAATTTAAGAAAGAAACTGCAATTATAAATAATGAATATTAAAGTTGAAATATATATTCTGATTCTCGAGAGATAAAGCTTTAAAAAAAAATAAAACCCTTACTACTGGTAGAGAATGATTTTCGAAGCACTGACTGCTTGTTTACCACAACACTCGTCTCAAAAATCATGTGAATGTTGAGTTTATAAACCAACTTCTAAATTTATATTGTGTGCACAATCTTATTGAGTAATGCAAAATTTTACTATATTAATGTCGATGGGCTGAGGTATTTGTGTCGATTTGTTATTTTCATGTATGGTGTTTGTCTTTTAACTGCTATTAAGTGTATTTTATTAATATTTTCAATGAACTATATTGTATTAAAATGAAATATGTTTTTTTTTCATGGATAATGAAATAATAGACATGATAAAAAAACGTATTTTCTACGCCCGGCAAAACTTTCCATTCACAAAAAAAACTATTAATTAAAGAAATGGAACAACATAGAAAATAGTGCCTCTGTATAAAATATTTGTACAGATTTAAGATTCACCGTACAATATTTACAAAACTTGACGTTAGATATAAATTACACAAAATGAAATTACGTTTTCTGCAGCTACACTGTTAGGGGCCACATGCACGATAACCGCTCGGTTTTCAACAAAACTGAAAAAAAACTAGTAAATAGCTATCACGATTTTTTATTTCTGATGATGCGACTTCACCTAACGCTCAATCCTAGGTATTTGCAAGGTACCAGCTCCATATGCACCAGATGTGGAATATACCAGGTACAGTCCAGGAAAGATGAGTTGTTGAGGTCCAAAGCGAAATCTATTTTACTAATTTGAAGTAAAACCGAAAGGAGTATTTCTGATAGTATCTCATCCCCAATTATGGAATTAACGGAATAAAATAAATGTGTTCTGTTGGTTCGTAACTGAAAGAATATACACATAATCCTTGCTAAAAACTGTTTGTTTAAAAATTCTTACTAAAAACTCGACCGGTACGTGTAGACACCTCTTCATCAAGCAGAATTTCACAAGCAGTCGAAACCTGGCGGTATTGTTGACAGCATCACAACGGTTTTTTACATTGTCGATACAATTTTTGTATGTAAGGGTAACGATATCACTCTTAGCTTTGGTCAGACTGGACATCCAGGCATAGGGGTCTATGGTTCTGATGAAATACAAAGTGTTTTGCTGGGTGATCAAGCCTTTGTTGAAGATCTTCTCCAAACTGTTCTCCAATACAATGAAGTTGGGGTTGTTGTCAGAGATCTGGTCATTGTTATTGTCGATTTTAATGAATTGTTGAACGCATCCTGAAATATGATACACAAAGGATGGTTTTTTCTCACAGAAATCATTGAGTTTACAAGTTATGCCGATATATCTAATGTAGAAATCATTACAAAGGGCAAAAGGGTCCGACTAATTGTCGACATTGCCCTCAGTTGTAGGGGAAGAATATTTTGAAGCATTTTTACATGCTTTATTATAAATGATCGTTATTTTGTTAATAAAATTGGTTTTACGGTATATTTTTCGTTTAGCGGACACGTAAATAAAGTTTTTGTATTTTACATATTTTTTTTATATAGTAGTATTTTTAAAAATTTTAATAAATTCCTTCAACGAGAATGTTATATATATATATTTTCTTTTCGGTTGAAGGAAATTACCCCATTGGCGATTATAAATTCCCTGTGCAAACGCCAATGGACAAAATATAGATCCCAAATTTTTTGCATAGGCAACACAAAATACATTTCAACTTGCGCTATCAATTTCTAATAAACAAAATAAGGGTTGCTGCACACAACTAAATTTAATTTTGGATAAAAACGGTAACAGTTTGTCGGCACTTCAAGTATTATTTCGCTGATAAGAACTATACTGTAATATGAGCTGCTGATACGTACCCAACGAAACAAAACTAATACCCACATCAAATACCCTGCTTATCAATAAACAATAATTAAATTTCGATAAATCCAGCGTGATTTTTTCCAAGAAAGGTAACAGAAACGCGCAGCAGAACCAACCTAACCTCAAATTACATGTTTTGCACCGACAAGAAACAAACATAAATATTTACCTTTGATGTCTTTAATTAATGGGTCAGTGACTGACATCCTTATCACGAAATTACCATGTATGATAGATTAAGTACTCTCATATGACTAGAATACAAATATTACTTGAGAGACTGCCGTTATCACACACTTCAACTTCAAACGCAGGCAGTGCCACATTGCTTATGTCAAATTGATCAGTTTTCCGCGAGTTCGAAAAGTCCTTCAGTATAATGGCCGAGAAAATCATCCCCACCGGGGTGTTAGTCAGCGAGGCGAAGGAGATATTTAGGAAGGAATTTTCGATGGATGCGAATATATCCGTTTTCGCACCGGGTAGGGTGAATTTGATTGGCGAACACACCGATTACAACGATGGGTTCGTGATGCCCATGGTGAGTGTTTTTGAATTGTTTAAAATTTTTAAATTGATTGTTGGCTGGAACCATGAAACGCTACAATTAATTTATGGGTGGCATGTTAATGTAAAAACTTCAGAATCAACACGTTATCATTTATTTTGAAGATACGTGCGTAAATTAATTCGAAATACGTAGAAACTATCAAATATACACTCGAATTAAAGAAAGCACCTACTTAAAATATGTACTTGAACGTATATTTATACTTGGAATCTACTTACTAGGTTGTCAAAATATGCCCGTTCTTTGATAGAAAGTTTTTAAACTGTTTACCATTTTTGTTTCATCCAATTTGTTTGCTTTACGGATAACCTTTTGTTTGTATACTATTAATTCTCTTCAACCAAATCGTAAATATTTTTCCGAAATACTCAGTCTATAATCGTTCTATCATTTTAAAAATGATCCAGTGATCCTTAAAATGGATAAAAAATGTATACAAACAAGATATAAATTATTATACAGGATGTTTTGCAGAAAGGAAGATACCGTAAATTCAAGTAAGTAGGCAGGAGTAGGCAGAGCATCAAAAAATAACACGATTTATTCCTATCTTCAATTTTATTTCAAAAAATTTATCTTTCGCGCCATGGAGACTACACAGCTCTCAAAAACAAAAGATGGTAGGCCCATGGTCTCTAGGGAAAAAAATTATTATTTTTTATGTTCTGTCGGCCTCTAAACCTTCCCTGAATATTTGTATATGCAATGATTGCAATGGCCGTGTTCTTTTATTCCTCGTTTTAATGCGATGAATTCTATCGATGTATTACTAGTGGCCTGTTTTGGTTCTACGGAATCCATCACATCGAAATGATGAATAAAAGAACACGGTCAATATCGTGCTTTTTAAATGACCAATGTTAAAATCTTGTAATATCAGGTAATTTATTATAGTATGATATGACATCTTTGAAAAATTAATAACAATTTCACTCATCTGTCTTGAAGGTCATTTAAACTTCATTCATTTCATTGTCCGAATATTTCTATTGATAACTGTTACAAATTTATTTATAATCACAGATAAAATATTTTTATAGTTATTTATAAGCCATTAATGAATTGAGCTTCGTTCAAAGGTACTTCAAATTTTATTTTTGTTTATTTAATAATGACGAAAAGTACACAGTTCATAAATTAGGAAAAATATAATATACGAGAATCTTACCGTCATAAGGAAATGTTTACACAATAATACCTTATCAAATGAGGAAAAATATCTCTTTTGACGTGCATAACCAAAATTTTATTGTTTAGTGCCTCAACTATACAGGGTGGTCTGAACTTTATGCAGGAAACTCCGAGGGTAGATAGATCTCTTTAAAATAATATGTGTTTGCCTTATAAACATAGGTCTGGAACGGCCCCGTTTTAGAGATACAGGGTGTTGAGGTTTAAATAAAAATGATTTTTTGTTTATATCGCACACTACCTCACAGGTGGTGTAGAAAGGAGTGTAAATAATTTTGTTGGTGTGCTTTCAAATTGCACTTACTTTTAAACATAAACAAATATTTTTGTAATATTATCGTTAGAAGTGTCTGCCACAAGGGGATTGTATTGGTATGAATAACTTGAGAACGACGAATCTTAGGGAAAAAATTAAAGTCACCTTTTTTACGTGTTTTGTGCATTAAAATATAAATCAGTTACAATGACATGTAAAAAATGCAGTGGCGCATATTTTTTTTGGAAAAAAGGGGTGACCCCTGTCCAGTTGTACACCACTGGTTGAACCTTTAAAACTCATATTTCAGGGAATATAAGGCCTACTATCATATATTATATGTACCAAATTTTATTGAGATCGGTTAATAGATTCCGGAGATATAAACAAAAAATCAATTTTTTTTGACAAATTCAACACCCTAAAACGGTGCCGTTCCAGACCTGTGTTTATAAGGCAAACACATATTATTTTAAAAAGATCTATCTGCCCTCGAAGTTTCCTGCATAAAGTTCGGACCACCCTGTATAATGACTAAAAATAAATATATATTTTTGATATTTCACAGAGCTTATTAAAGTTACTGTTCGTTTTTTTTTTGTTAAATTATAACTACCTACGTGAATTGTACGTCGATATATAACCATATTAGGTTAACAAAATATTGTGTTTAATTCATTGGTATGATGTCGTGGAGCATGATCGTATGTATCGGCCATATTGACATGGGCCCTCGGTGGAGACATCGGACGTTCTAATCGAGCCCCATGTTGGGCGCCATGTCGAGGATTATGATCTGTAGTGCCTAATATTTGAGAATTGTGCGGGGAATTTGTAACATGGGCTCGCCGCGAAGACGTCGAAGCAGGACTTC